ACCCTCGACGACCAGCTCGAGGTCAGTGGGTGTGCGTGTGTTGGGTTTTGTTGTGGTTTTGTTGTCAGCTCCTAGCTGCACTGTGTTACCTCTGTTCTGTGTTGCTTCTGTCCCTGCACGTTCCCGCATGTGTATGATGTTCTCACCGCTGTGTGTCGTCCTTTCTCTTCTATTACTGTGCTTATCCGACGCGTTCTGATCTGACGTACAAACGCTTGTCTGTTCAGGTCACTGAGGGTATGCGCTTCGACCGCGGTTACATCAGCCCCTTCTTCATCAACGAGCAGAAGTGTAAGTGTGGCATTTCGTTTTGTTTTCTCTTCTTGAAACACCAACACACATCAACATCAACACCACACCAGCGCACAGCATGCCCCTGCAAGCACAAGCACACAACACTGCATGGAGCAGGATCGTTTGGTGCACCCTCGAGTTTTGCTGTTCTCTCTCCCTAACCTGTCTCTCCTGCACTTCACCCTGCCATGCATGCTAACCACAGCCCGCAAGGTTGAGTACAAGGATGCCCTTGTTGTGTTCAGCGAGCAGAAGATCTCCAACGTCGCCAACATTGTCCCTGCACTCGAGATGGCCGTCAAGATGGGCAAGTGAGTCAGCCACGCCAACCAGCTTTGCTTTTTTTTTCTTTTCTTTTTCTTTTGCATCCTGTTTTTGCTTTCCATCATCCTCGAATCCAGCGCTGCTCTGTTTGCACTTATTTCAAAACCACGTTCCCATGCGTATACCCACACACAAACACTCATGCAACGCACGGCAGGCCCCTGATGATTGTTGCCGAGGACATTGACCAAGAGGCCCTGAGCACCCTCGTGATCAACCGCATCCGCAGCCAGCTGAAGGTGGTCGCCGTCAAGGCGCCCGGCTTTGGTGACAACCGCAAGAACTCCCTCCAGGATATGGCCATCCTCACCGGCGGCCACGTTTTTGGTGCCGAGGGCGCAGACGCAAAGATCGAAGAGAGTGAGTTTGTTTCATTGCTCCTTCCACGGAAACGCTGAAACGCTTCAATGCCTTCCCAACACACACACACACACGCACGCACGCACGCACGCACGCACACACGCGCGCACACACACACGCACACACACACGCACACACACACGCACACACACACACAGCCCGCCACTGCACTCACTGCCCTCCAACTCCCAGCTCACCCCCTTGATTGTCCTCTCCTTGGCACCCTTTCTCCCTCTCCCCCCCCCCCCCCGCCTTGCAGTCCAGCCAGAGCACTTTGGCAGCGTTGGCGAGCTTGTTGTGACCAAGGACGACACCCTGTTCCTCAACGGCGGCGGCTCGCAGGACCAGGTGCAGCAGCGTGCCGAGACCATCCGCGCCCTCATTGAGGACACCACCAGCGACTACGAGCGCGAGAAGCTGCAGGAGCGCCTGGCCCGCCTTGTTGGCGGCGTCGCCGTGCTCAAGGTTGGCGGCAGCAGCGAGGTTGAGGTTGGCGAGAAGAAGGACCGCGTGACTGATGCGCTCAACGCAACCCGCGCTGCCATTGAGGAAGGAATCATGGTTGGCGGCGGTGCTGCCCTGCTCAAGACCACCTTCGCCCTGGACGACCTCGAGCCAGAAAACTTTGACCAGAAGATGGGCGTCGACATTGTGCGCCGCGCCATCCGCGCTCCCCTCACCCAGATTGCCAACAACGCCCGCGCAGAGCCCGCCGTCATCATTGACAAGATCCTCAGCAACAAGGACGACGCCAACTTTGGCTGGGACGGCCTTCGCGTAAGTCGCATCGAGATTGTGTGCGACCGCTCTTGTGGCCGGGTATTTGTTTTTTGTTTGTTTGTTTTTTTGTTTTTGTTTTTTTTTTGCGCGTGCGCGTTTTGCCTGGTTCGCGTCTCTGACGTTTGTGTGACATCACTAACTCACTTTTCCCTCTCTTGCTCTCGCAATTCAGGACGAGTACTGCGACATGTTTGAGCGCGGTATCGTTGACCCGACCAAGGTGATCCGCATTGCCCTCCAGGACGCCAGCGGTGTTGCCTCCATCATGACCACCCTCGAGGTTTGTGCAACGCAGTAGCACAATTTGTGTGTTGCACGTGTAATGCGCCTGCGTGCGGTTTCACTCGTTGATTGCCCCTCGTCACAATCTGTTTACATACTCGCGTCCATTCGTCGCTGTCCATGCCCGCATCCTCACGCAACTGCGCTTCTCCCTCTTGTTGCGTCATGCAGTGCGTCGTGAGCGACCTCCCCGAGAAGGAGGGCTCTGGCGGCATGCCTCCTATGGGCGGTATGGGCGGTATGGGTGGCATGGGTGGTATGGGTGGTATGATGTAAAGCACCACCTGGCATCCGTTGACTCCTCTCCCCTCCCCCCTCCCCCCCCCCCCCCAACACATGCCCTCTGGGCTCAATTGCCACACAACCCCCCGCCCCCTTCCACAAGCACATACAGACACAATCATCTCATGCACACAGCACAGCCCTGTCCATCCAGCAGCGAGCACGTGGTCTTGCTTTTTGGTGTCGTTTGTGATGTCCCTGCCCTGCCCATGCTGAATTGGGGCGTGCCCTGTCCTGGTGAATGGAATTCGGAGTGCACGAGTGCTATTGTCCGGAACCCCTTTTTCTCCTCCTTAGGACTGTCGTCGTCTTTGATTTGTTCCTGTGTTCACACACTTGCCTGCTGCCCCAATGCGGCCTCCATCCTTACTCTTCTTTGTTCTTGAATGTTTTCTCGGTTGGTGTGCGACTTTGTACTCACATCAGCTCGCGGAAACAAACGAAATGAATAACAGCAAATGTCACACTCCCCTTCGAGTACGACGAACCAACCACAACATCAGTGTGTGTGTGTGTGTGTGTGTGTTGCGGCGTTTGAATGGCGAATCAAGCAGGGATTGCTTTTTTATCAAGGTGTGCGCACACAACAACGGAAGGGGGTATCAAGAGTGTTGTAAGAGAGGGCCAGCAAGCAAGCAAAAGATGAGAGTCGGAGGAAACGTTGCACAGCGATGAAAATGATGGCAACAAGACAGTAAGTTTCACAGGTTATTGGTTGGCTTTGCCAGACGCAATCGTGCACACGCGGTGGCGGGAAAAATAATCGCTCGCCTTGTCAACAGCAGCAGCGTGCACCACCTCCTGGTTCACGTGCTCGCCACGCTGCTTTGCATCACGGAAACGACTTCGCAGCTCGCTCCGGAACCGCTTGAAGAGCGCCTTGTAATCGGCCTTGTCGCCAAAGCCGTGCGGCCAGTGCTTGCTGAGCAGCGCCTTCTTAATGGCAGCATTGAGGTAGTCCTCAAGCACCTTGTGGTCGAGGGCAGACGGCTCGCGGCTCCCCGGTTTTCGCTCCTGCTGCTCTTGCTGTCGCGGCGGCTGCTGCTGCCGTGCCGGTGGTGGCGGTGGTGGTGGCGGTGGCGGTACGCTGTCATCAACAACATACCCACGGTGCTCGGGCTCGCGCGCGTGTGCTGCAGGGTGAGGCGGTGGTGGCGGCGGTGGCGGTGAGCGCCTTCTTGCCGCATACGCGTAGTCTCGGCCGCGCACCGCATCTGCTGGCGGTGGAGCCATGCGAGGAGACGCGCGGCGACCCCCGTGCGGCAGCGGGGAACGCGACCGTGAGCGGCCACGGCGGCGTGGAGGAGAGTTGGGACGGCGGCCATACCGGTCTGCCTCAACATACCCACGACGACGATCATAGTCCTGATGCTGCTGCTGCTGCTGCTGCTGCTGCTGCTGCGGTGGCGGCGGCGGTGGCGGCGACGCACGGCCAGGCGCCACATCACGACGGGCAATGTCGTCGGCGCGATCCCTCATGGGCCGGTCCCTGCTGCGGGCGCGCCTGTCACGGTCTCGCCTACCGCGGCCGGAGCGAGTGCGGCCACCGCGGGAGCCACGTCGCCAATCATCCCCAGCCGGCAGTGGGGAGCGGGAACGGCGACCGCGAGACCGGTCGCTGCTGCGGCGGCGCTGCTGTTCATCTGCATCACCACCACGGCGACCTGTGGATGCTGACACCGCTGGGCGCTGTTGGGCGAGGCTGGACGCGAGCACAATCAGCTTCACACCTGCGCTGCGGTCGTCCTGAGCCTCGTCGTTGTCGTCGTCCTTGTCGTCGTCGCTGCCCTCTTGGTCGATTTTCAAGGCTGCGTTGTTGCAGCCGGAAACAAGTTTCGCGCGGGCGCGCTCAGCGGGCGTCTCCTTCACGTCAGCCCACGTCTCCTCGTCGACATCTTTCTCTTGCCTCTGTTGCTCCTTCTGCTGAGCACTGTGGTACGCCCTCAAGCTCGAACGGCGCCCGCCCTCATCCTCGTCATCATCCTCATCGTCGTCCTCGTCGTCGTCGTCATCGTCATAGGTGTTGTTGTCACCACCACCATTGTTGGCCTCAGCTGAGCCGCCGTTCTCGTCGGCCTCGTTCGCCTTGGCGTCGCTCTCAGCTGCTTTCGCTGCTGGTGGCAGCAGGAGCACCGTGTCCTCGCTTGGCGGTGGAAAGCTGCACAGCACCGCGTCGCAGATGTAGCCCACCAGCAAGTCCAGCTCGGCCGGGTTCAGGTGCGATCCGTCAAACACGTGCGGCCGGTTGGTATCGAGGACGGTGCCAAACTGGCCGGCGCGCAGTGCGTCGGCGAATGCGGTGCGGCTGAAGATGCGCTGTTGGTCGTTGGTCGCTGTCGAGCACGCCAGAATGAGGCGGCGCGTGAGCTCTGGCGAGAGGGCCATGCCCCCGGCCTTGGCCTCCGACCACACGTCCTTGGCAAGCGAGAGGTCGGCCCTGCTCTTGATGCTGGCGTCAACGACGCGCTCCAGCGTTGCGCTGTCCAGCACAACATCAAGCTCCTTGCACTTGCGGAAGCAGGTTCGCACGCGCCCAATGTCGCCAATCTCAAGCGCGACCTGAAGGTGGAAAAAAGGGAAGATGGGAGATCAAAGGTGGGACAGTCGAGGGGCGTGACAACACGAGGAACGGACGTGTGAGGGCAACGGAGACGCGCTGATGCTTCAAAAAGGGCCTTGTATGGCGCAATACGGAAGGAGTGTCGGTCTTCGGCAGCAGACAAGACTGGCAGATATGCCTCTTGCAACTGAGACAAGAGAAAGCACATGCACAACCAATTCAAGCGTATTTCACACGAGCACCCAAAGTACATTGAAATACAAATCAAAGCACACACTTCATAGCGCGTGCACACCCACGCATTTTGTCTCACCTCGAGGGCTGCCTTGGCTGCGTCTGGGGAGATGCGCTGCGTCAACAGGGTGTTGGCGACGCTGTGCAGCTTTGGGTGGCGCAAGCACAGCGAAAGAACCCCAGCTTGGTTGTACTGAAACGCCCCGTTCAGTCTGGATCGCGGCTGCGGTTTTGCACACGATACACGTGACAAACGGGCATGGTGTGTGAGAGGATGAGAGAACATGGGTGAGTAGAGTGGGTGGGTTGGTGCATGGGTGAGAGGCGCATGCGTGAGTGGGTTAGGGTTAGTGAGTGGGTGAGTGGAGGTTGCCTTGACGGTCGGCAGTGCAACGGCAAGGACATCATCTCCATCGATGTGCATGTGTGTGTGAGGAACGCACCCGCAGATCAATCCAGGACAGAAGGGTGATAGCCGTGTCTTGTTCGCCTTGCTCAAGCATCTCCCCGGCAAATCGCAACGTCGCTTCGATCCCAAGCTGGTGCAGGCAAGAAAAGTGTCACCAGCACGCCATGCAAGAGGGTGTGTGTGTGTGCGTGTGTGTGTGTGTGTGTGTATGCGTGTGCGTGTGCGTGTGTGTGTGTGTGTGTGTGTGTGAGTGAGTGAGTGAGTGTGTGTGTGAGTGAGGCACAATGAGTGGCGGATTTCAGGTCACGTGGTGTGCTGAAGTCCCACATTGCGGGTAGGGCGCCAAAAAGGCACGCAACGCAGGCGAACGTCATGACATCACGGCCACGGCGCCTGGGGCCGCCACTCACCATGGTTTGCCTGGCTTTGGTGTACCACAGCTGAAACGGTTGTGCTTGCGTCAGAGTGATGAGCGCTTTCTTGAGTAGATCCGGCCGGTTGGAGTCCTGCGTCAGGTTCAAGACCTTCATAATGTCTCTGTGATAAGGCCGGAAAGGATAAGAACAAGACACATTGTGTGCAGGCGTGCATGCAAGTGTGTGGGCGTATGTGAGAAGACAGAGAGAGGAGGGGGTCAATACTTTCGACACGAAACCAATGACAAGCAAGATGAAATTGGGTTCGCGCGCGCATGGTTGATCTTCGACTTACACGGGCATTTGAGGAAACCCAAGCCTGACGCTGTCTTCAAACAGCTCCACAACCTTCTCCACGTCTTTGGACGCAAAGGCCGCCTGTTCAACAGGGACACGATTGCATACAACAGCAGCACACACAATGAGTGGTTTCGCGACACAGGGCACATGATGACAACCCCGAAAGCGCAGCGCAAGCAAGACGCGCACTCCCACAGCGCTTAATGATGGTCATGTCACGAACCTTAAAGAGCCAGTGCCAGAGGTCCATGTTCTTGATATCGTCCATGTCGGTCGTTCGCCGGCGCGCCCTGCAACCAATGCATGCAAGCAACGATAGCACAATCGCGCGTGAAGGGAGTGAGCGAAGCAGTCAGCAGCAGCAAGAAAGCGCAGGCGTGTGTGTGAAGGTGTGTAAAGGTGTGTGTGAGCCTGTGTCTGTATCTGTGTCTGTGCGTCTGTCTGTCAACGTGTGTGCATGCTCTTCGTACGTCTCGCGACGCTCAAGAAAGTTGTCCACAGCGCCGCGGCAGAGATCCCGCAGCTCCGTCTTCATGTTCTGTGAGCCGAGCAAGCAACACGACAGCCGTGAGCAACACAGGAGATGGAACGTCCAGGCATGAGCACACATGTACCGACACTCATTAACGATTCACACACACACACACACATACAAGCACACACACATACAAGCACACGTGAACGCAAGCACATTACCAAACACCAAAGAACACAGTATCATGCACACACACACACGCAAAAACACACAGAGTGCATTGCTCACCTGTTTGATGTACGCGAAGCACGTCCACATGGTGTCGTAGGCGCCATTCTGGCAGAGGGTCCTCAGCACGTGCACCAAGTTGTCAATGCTGGGAGTAAGGAGAGGGAAATCACCAGCGAGCAGCTTGGATACCATCTCCTCCGAGGTGAACGCGGTCGTGTTGCGCAGCAGACGGTGCGTAAAGTCCGTGGGCAGCGGCAGCTTGTTATCGGCGACAATGGACAGGACGGAGGCCAGGGACTCCGGAGAGTTGCGGGCAACAGCGAGCGCCACATCCCTGCACACGCGCGCGCACACATGGACAACAGCAGCAGCACCCGCGAATCCGTCAGCTCCAAGTGAGCACCCAATGCACGTGGTGAGCGGAGGGTGGTGGGGTGGTGGGGTGTGGAAATGGTGCTAACAATGACCACAACACGCGGTGCCAAGCCCTGCGTGACGAGGTGCGCGTGCCCTCGAGCCACGAGCCACGAGCCACGAGCCAGCGCCACCACGGTGATGAATGCCTCCCCCTTTCCCCTGTCGTCATCCCAGACGGTGATCCTGACACATGTGGGCGCACCCCCAGCGACGCCAGCAACTCCAACAACGCCGGTGACCGCGCACAAACGCACAAACGCACAGGTGCACGGGTGCCTCTGCTCTGATTGAGCCAAAGCACGAGCAGGGAAGAGCGATTGCTTGCACTTGTGGGCTGCTGGTGACGAACGGTCACGACCACACGTCATCCCTTAAGACGCCGAGGCGTTCGAGTTACCCACACTCAATGCGGGCACACACACGCACACACACACACACACGCACACGCATATATGCGCACACGCACGCACGACGAAAGCACATCCTCGTCTCTGGCGCGTCGCCGACGCCTGGGGCGCATCTGCCGAGTCGGCAGCATGCACGCAATGTCCGGCTGCATTCACCCGACTACACGACGCCCAGCATCATCGAAACAGGCTGGGAAGGGAGGGGGAGGGGAGACCACGCGGGCGCGGGCGTGGTGGTGGCGCTGGCTTTGGCGAGGGCACCACATCTCGCAGGCACCGTGCTTGCACAAATGGCGGCGGTGGTGCGGATGCGGTGACGCTGTGGTGATGGTGGTGGGTGATTGGGGTGGTGGAAGGCGAGGATGTCGTACCCGATGAAGGTGGTGGTGACGGTCGACGTTGTGCGCAGTTTCTCCTCAAAGAGCTTGGTGCCCATATCCTGCCAGCGGCCGCTGCTCAGCGCCTCAAACAGGCCCAGCTCCGCCTTCTCAAACTGCTTGGTCACGTCCAGCGGGCACATGGGCTGGTTCACCTTTTCACGTACGCGCTCGTACATGTCGACGGCTGTGTCGGTGTCGCCGGTGTTGACGGCCTCTGTGAACAGCAGCGCCCACGCCTTTGCATCAAGCAGATCCTCCGCACGGCCCTCCAGCTGGAAGCACAAGCACGCACACATGCACGTGCACAAGTACACGTAGATAGGCATCGGCACACATGCGCGCGCGGGCGCAGAAACGCCACATGGAAGGTGAGGGGACGTGCAATTGCAACGGCAGACGTGGGGTCATCTGCGGCCGTGAGGATGGCACACGGTTGAACGCACACGCACGCGCACAATAGGGCACACGCACACGCACACGCACACGCACACGCACACGCACACGCACACGCACGCGCACAATAGGGCACACGCACACGCACACGCACACGCACACACACACGCACACGCACACGCACACGCACACGCACACGCACAATAGGGCACACGAAACAAGAGTGCAACAGCACACGGCCGTATGCTCGGTGGTGTCGGAAACAGGACTGTCCAGCGCGCTGCGCACCTTTTCGCGAATGTGCTGGAGCGGGCGGGGCTCCTCCTTAGAGGCGGAGGCAGCGGCGGCGTCCATGTATGCCGAGAGCTGCGCGGCCGTCAGCGTGGGCGGGTCGGCCTCGAGTTCGCGCATCACTCGTTGCCGGACTTGCACGACTAGGCCTTTGCACTGCACGCAGCACGGGGGTGAAGGCGTGGGGTGGCGTGTCATGTGAGTGAGAAGGGCAGGAAAGGTGGAAGATGTGGGGGAGGGGATTGTTGTCCTTGCTTGTTGAGCTGGCTGTTTGGAATGGTTGCTGCCTGCTGTGACGTGAAGCAGAGAATCAACGAACCAAATAATGCGGTGGGAGCATGCGAACATTGCTCGAAGCAACGCACCTCTGGTAGGATGGACAGTAGGCGCTGGAAGATGGCGTCGGGCATTCCCTCCATGGTCGAGGGCTGTTGTATGTACAGCTTCTCCATGATTGCGCCAAATGCACGCGCAGAGTACTCTGAGAGGCACGCACACAGGCAGACAGGCAGATAAAGGGGCAGAGAGAGGGGGGGAGGAAGGGGGGATGAGGGGGGAAGGAGCGACATGTGCGCGCACCAGAGCATCGCGCTCATGTGAGCATTAAAGGCCCACGGGGAGAGGCACACACGCGGCTGGACAAGGAGGCGGGCATGTTGGCATTTGCAATGTGGGAATGGATGTGTCTTCAAACAACACTGACTTTGAAGAAAGCGCTCTGTCTCCTCTGTCCAGATGGAAATACCGCGCGATGCAGCCTCCACCAGCAACTGCAGCACACAAACACACACACAACCACGCATACATGCACAACGAACATGCACAAGTATCCGTGCAGAAGGCATTGGCAACAAGATGAGGTGAGCGTGCGTATGGCATGGAAGCGCGTGTGTAGAGGGGGCGGGGTTGGGGAAACAAACAACGCAGACGAGAGCAAAGAACTGCACCACCACCACCACAATCATCACCACCACCACAACTACCACCTTCGCGATGGTGACGCTGGGAATGTCCGGGGCAGAAAGCGCCTGGGACAGGGCAGTCTGCAGGCGTTCGTCGGAGAAGAGGTCTGTCTCGCGCACAATCATCTGCGTTGGTATTACGCAAGACGGGGATAGTGGGGTTCACGTGAGCTGATGTCCTTGAACAACGGCAGAAAACAAGCAAGGCAGACACTGTGCTGCGCCACGTCCAAGCAGAAGCATCGAGTGATGGGCAATTGGGGTGGTTGCTGGCCAGTGGAGTGGTGCATTTGCAAGTGGTGCATTGTCACCTTTGTGAGGAGATCTGCGGGCACGCTCTTCGCCTTCTCCAACGCCGCATCCAGCAGCGCCCTGGCAATATCCCGGTCTGGTGGTGGTGGTGGTGGTGGTGATGGGTTGCAAGGGATGGAGAGGATGTGGTGAGGTACAGCCATCGACAAAGATCCAGAGAACGCACGCACGCACACACACACACACACACACACACACACACACACACACACACACACACACACACACACACACACACACACACACACAAACAAACAAACACACACAGGCGGTTGCCTGCACACACATATGCACAAATTAACACATAGCTCAATACAAAAGGCACGACACGAACACGAGCACGAAGAAGCCAGCAACATGAGTGTGTCTGTATAAAGAATGCTTTCACCTGTGAGGAGACTGCGGGCGCTGAGATAGACAAAGAGGTCAACGAGCGGAGCGTCTGACTGTGGCATCAGCCCATCAACCAACTGCTTTGTATCAGCATCCTCCACCGTGTGCTGTACATGCAGGATGTCGTATGTGTCCCACTTGAGCTGCAGGCATGGGATGTATGTGGTTGCGTGTCCATGAGAGAGTGCAAGCATTCATGTCTAGGCATGCATAAGCGTGCTATAGTGTGGTGTGCGGGCGTGCACGTGTACGATATGGACTGAAAGGGCCATGGTCCATCTGTAACCGCTCATGCCAATAAAACCCACAAAACCACGTCAACCACACGATGTAAACGCTAACCCCCTTCCCCTATTAACTTGTGCAAGCAAGTGTGGGAGTGTGGCAGTTGAGACGCACCGGCCACACGCTGGCGATGGCCGATGTCCGCGGGAAGTCGGTGTTAAGGAACTTGCGCAGGCCTTGTGGTGGCAGCGTCACCTGTCGCATGAGAAGGCAAGGACAGAGGTCAACAGGGCGAGAAATTGTGCACGTATGTGCGTGCGTGCATGTGCGTGGGTTTGTATGGATGTGTTGTGCGTGCGTGCGTACATGTGTTGTGCATGTGTGTATGTGCATGTGTGTATGTGTTGTGTTCATGGCTGTTTACCACAACACGGCCCTTGCCGTGCCATGCCATGCCTGACCAACCTACGCCACAACACACCTGGAATTTGCGGGCGGTCTCGAGCAAGCGGCGCATGGCAAAGGTGTCGCGCGAGGCCGCGATGAGATCCATGCAGTCGAGCATGAGCCCGACAGGCGGTGACACGTGGCGCCGCGCATCGTCAGTGATGGTGTTGATCATCCGGTTCTGAACACCACGAAACAAAATGGAAAGGAAACAAATCAAACCCCGCGCGCATATGACCAGCGTGTTGTTGTTGTGTAACAATCGGATGGACACATGTGAGATCCCACTGAACATGGCAGCCGCTGCCACCACCGCCAGGCATCACACACAACACACACAACACACACACACAACACACTCACAACACACACAACACACAACACACAACACACACACTGCCGCCATCATTCATCCAACGACTTGCAAAAACTCGAACCACCAACAACCACCAACAGCACCACCATCAGCAACACCATCAGCAACATTCCACTCAACGCACCACATGCTGCATGTCGAGCTTGCGGCGGCGAGAGGGCGGGGATGGAGAGCGCCTGCGTGCGCCATTGCGATCGCCACGTCGCTCGCGTGACCGCCGGCCACCACGCCGCTCTCGCGTCAGCGACGGTGACGGCGGTGGTGACGGTGAACCGCTGCCGCCACGGCCACCACTCCGACGACCACCACCACCAGCACCGCGACGGTCACGGTCACGGTCATGGCTGCGGCTGGGACTGCGGCTGCGGCTGGGGTTGCGGCGAGAGGACCCGCGGTCTGGAGATGGCGACGGTGACGATGGCACGGCGCCATCATCGTCATCATCATGGCCACCGGCATCGGCTGCATGCTCGCGGCGACGCTGCTGGCCTGCCCGTGATGACGACGACGACGACCTGCGTGGTGGCGACTGTGCTGGTGGCGACCGTGGTGGTGAGGCCTTGGCGCGCTTTGGCGGGTGCGCCTCCTCTGCCTCCTCTGCGGCGTTGTCCTCTTCGGCCGAGTAGAGCTCCTCAATGCGGGAGGGCCCGGGTGGCGGGCTCTCAATCTGCAGATCCGGGTCGTCAAAGTCGGCGATCACGGCAAAGTCGCGGTCGGGCTCAATCAGATCAGCCAGATCTGTCCAGAACCAGAGAATGGGGGGGAGGGGGATGCGAAGAGAGAAGGGGTGGCGTGCACGAGAAGCACGCGCCCGCGCGCATATGCACAAGCAGGTGTGAATGGATGGTGGAGTCATGATTGGTCCGTGGTCATGGTGCCCGCAGGTGAGACGTGCTGGACAAATAGGGGGGGGGGAGAGAAAAAGGGAGGAGGGTGACAGAGGGAGGGAAGAAGGAGGAGGGTAGCGAGCCATCTGTGCTCCTCGCCCAGACTTGGTTGCAAGGCAAGGCACAAGGTGCCGCTCGCTTGCCCCGCCGCTCGTCAGGATACACACAGCGCCTCCAGCAAGAGGTAATGCCGTTGTCCCGGCCCCTCATCGCCCTCACCCGTCCCCATGCCTCCTTGGCCCTTTGACTCCGGTGCTCGAGCGCGCGCGTGCACAGCCACACAGCACCGAGAGAGGGAGAAAGAGAGCGGATGACACAAGCGCTTGGGGAACTATCAGCTCCACCGCGCGAAAGTGGCAGCAGCAGCACACAATTGTTTGCCAGCAGTGATTCAACGTGAGTACCAACCGTCGTTCAGAACGACGTCGCCGGCTTGCACTGGGGACGCCTTTGCGCGCTTGGGCACAGGTGGGTTGGCGGAAGGGGAAGCTGAGAGCGCCGCGGGCTCTGGCTTCTTCTCTGGGTTGCCGGCCGCGTCTGCGGCGTTGACGCTGGCCTCCCCAGCACGGATGGCGTCGCTGGCGCTGTCTGCAGGTGCCTGTACCGCCTGGCCTGCGTCCTCCTGCGTGGGCGATCCGGGGTCTGCTTTGCGCTTGCTGGACTCTGCGCGCATTTCCGACAGGCTCTTGATCTGGATGTCGTTTATGGACACTGGGCGCGCCTCTGCGCCCTGCTTACCGCTGCCGCCGTCCTTGCCGCGCCGGCCTGCACCTGCTGACTTTGCCGGTGGCAGCACCACTTCGCGTGCGGGCACGCGGAGGGCCTCCTTATCGCTTGCAGCCTGCCGCTGCTCCCGCCTGGCGGCCGCGGAAGCTGCCGCTGCCGGGGACTTGGCGCCACGACGCTCGCCTCTGTCTCGGCCTGCGTCTTCTCGCGCCCTGTCCCTGCTGTCTCTGTCTCTGCCGCCAGCATCTCGGCGGGAAGCGCGTGAGCCTCCACGACGCGCGCGCGGGCGACCCGACCTGTTTCTTCGAGCCCCCTGCATGCGTGGTTGTACGTGTGTGTATGTGTGTGTGTGTGTGTGTCTCGTGTGTATGTGTCTTGTGAATGTGTCTTGTATTGTCTTGTGTGTGTATGGATGTGGTTGTTTGGTTGCGGGTCTTGTGTGTCTTGCGGGTCTTGCGTGTGGTGTTCGTTCTCACATCAGGCAACAACCGACGCAGAGCAGTTAGACGCAGACGAAATTTGACGGAAATCTTTCGTTGATTGGTAATATCATTCACAACTTTCCGCACCGCCCACCAAACGACAAGCAAAGCAAAGAAACAAGGAACAAGTTGGCTGCTGCTGCCGCTGCTCTTGTGGGCGTGTGCTTGTGTTGTTTTGATGCGAGGCCCTTGACTGACCGTCCAGCAACGTGCCCATCCTTCTGTCCTCCTGAACTCCTGAACTCTGGTCTAGCTAGCGGTGTGGTGCTGACCCGCTTCCACTTACTCTTCATCGACTCGTTTGCCGTCGCCACGGAGAAGCAACACCTACCAGCTGCTGCAGCTGCTCGATTGACACAAACTTCCTTCTGCACCACCAGAGAAGAGAGAAATAATGGACTCTCCGCAAGACATCTCGGTGTGGTCGCCGAGCGACTTGTCGATTCTTGTTGCTGGCGGGATCGTCGGCGCGTACCTCGTGTTCTTCCTCGTTGCCGGCTTCATCATCTTCAAGATTCGTCGATGCGTCCGCACAAGGCAGAAGAGAAACAGAAGAGCGCAGGCAGCACAAGGCACATTGGATCAGCGATTCGGTGAGCTATGACCATGTGATCGTGGGCAATGCCACTACTGTTGATCTCGTTTGTGTCCCCTGGTATCGTTTTGGTGGCTGTGTCGGGTGCTCGTTGCTGCTGTTGTTTGTTTGTTTGTTGTTGTTGCTGTTGTTGCTGTTGTTGTTGTTTGTTTGCTGTTGTTGCTGTTGTTGTTGTTGTTGTTGCTGTTGTTGCTGTTGTTGTTGTTGCTTCGTTTCCCTCGTCCACTTTCCGTGGATCCGCGGTGGAGCCTTTCTTTGACTGTACATACCGTCCTTGCTGCTTTTCCATTCATGTGTGTATTCTTGCTCGCCCTACCGTTGACACGCCTTCTCCCTCCAACAACGCGCTGTGGTGTACTGTGCTGTGGGCTGTTGATTGTCTTGTGTTTTCGGTTCTGTGTGCTTTCTGTTGTAGGTTGAGCAACATCCTTTTGTCATAGACGATCCCACCCATGTTCCTTGCTGTCTTTTCATATCGCTGTTGGTGTGTGGCGTGTGCGCGTGTTCCCATGTCCACTGTGCTTTTTCTCATCGCGCTTGTTGTGCCCTGATTGCTTCTCCCCTTTGTCTGAGCGAGAATCCCTTCTTCACGTGCTCATCTGTGTTGCCCTTGCCATTGTGTTTGCACGCGTGGCTATGCGATGACTCGCCTTGCCGCCCCGCCCCCCCCCCCTCTTTCCCCTCCTCCCATTACGCGTCTTGCTCGTTGTGCTTTTGAACACCTACTGCCCACACTTCCCTGCCATGATGGTGGTGGTGGGGTGGTGGGGTTGGCCGTGACTGCCTGCGCTTGCCGCCTCCGGCCCTGTCGATGACTACCCGTGATGGCGGTGATACCACTCATGCCTTCTCGTTTGACTGTTGTCTTCCTTCCTTCCTCCCACCCTCGTTCTCCGCCTTGCTTCCACATCTCGCCCCCTTGCACACCTGCGTCTTCCGTCCACAAAGGTCGGATTGGGAACAACAAGGTCCACGTGTATGGTGCTGAGGCCGGGCCACGCACCGAGTCTGCAACCTGATGTGGTGTTGCTGCTGTGTATCTGCCGCGCCTTCCCCTCATTGCTTCCGCATTGCTGCGTAATGTGTTGTGTTACATGCTCCTCCTTCTGTCCCTTTGCATTTCCACGCGGCCCTGCCGCCCACTGCTGTACATAACACCACACTCCCCCCCCCCCCCACCACGCTGTCTTTCATTATAAACGGAGACGACACGCAGTGCGAACGGAACAACACTGAGAGCGGGCGCATGTGTGTGCGTAAATGTGTTGGGGGCGGGGTGTTGTGCATGCGCCCCCAAAGCCACAGCCACAGTGCCATCCAACAACGCAAGACCACGCAACAACAACAACCCAGAACGCTTTCGCTTCGCTTCTTGCTTCTTTGCTGTTGATTGTGTGTTGTTTGTGTGTATTTTTGCTGCAGCGTGCGATGACGATGATGATGATGATGATGTGGAGCAGGAGGCGGTGCTCGCTGGCTGTGTGCTTGCTGGCCGCGCTTGTTGTGGCCTTGAGCCAGGGCGCGCTTGCGAGCCCTGTGCATAGACAACACGAGCAAGCTAACGCCTCAGCTGCACAGCGACGGAACCTGCTGTGGCTGCGTGACCCATTGGAAGTGGCCAACGATGATCACATGCTGCGCAACGCACGTGTTCTGGTGGGTTGTGTTGTGCTGTCTGTCTGTCTGTCTGTCTGTCTGTCGTGTCTGTGTGTGTGCCTGTGTGTGTGTGTGTGTGCTATGTGTGTATATGTGTGTGCTATGTGTGTGTGCGTGCGTGTGTGTGTGTGTGTGTGTGTGTGTGTGTGTGTCCCTGTGTGTGTGTGTCTGTGTGTGTCTGTGTGTGTCTGTGTGTCTGTGTGTGCGTGCGCGCGTGTTTGCGTGTTCTTGTCCCGCCTCTTGCCCCCACCCCGCTTCCATTGTGTTGCGTACATTCACAACTCTAACCCACCCCCCACCCCCACCCCCATTTGCTTCTCACAGGTCACGGGCGGTGTGGGCTTCATCGGCTTCCACCTGGCTGCAACGCTGGTGCAGCTGGGCAACGACGTGGTCGTGCTTGACAACTTCAACAGCTACTACGACGTGCGTCTGAAGGAGGCGCGTGCGCACAAGCTCTTTGGCCACGGCGTGCGTGTCGTCAACGGTGACATCTGTGACTTCCGGCTCCTGGAGAAGCTCTTTGAGCAACACGGCTTTACACATGTGGCCCACTTGGCCGCCCAGGCCGGCGTGCGCTACTCTGTCAACCACCCGCACGACTACATCCGCAGCAACGGTATGTCCGTATTTATGTGTGTGTGTGTGTGTGTGTGTGCGTCTGTCTGTCTGTCTGTCTGTCTGTCTGTCTGTCTGTCTGTCTGTCAGGTTTGCTTTCTACCTATCTGCCCGCTTGCCGATCTATCTCTGTCTGTCTGTCTCTCTCTCTGTCTTTCTGTCTGTCTCTCTGTTTGTCCGTTTTGCCTTTCCACATGTCTGCCTGCATGCCTGCCTGTCTGCACAACATTCTCTCACTGCTTCCCCTTCCACTCCTTCTTTGCCTGACAGTGGACTGCTTTGTCAACATCCTGGAGGAGCTGCGCACGAAGCCTGAGGTGAAGCTCGTGTATGCGTCGTCGTCGTCCGTATACGGCAAGGACGCCACCATCCCTTTTACAGAAAAGGAGTGCTCTGACAAGCCAACCAATGTGTAAGCGCACGGTTGTGCATTGTGTGTGTGCGTGTGCACGTGTGCGTTTGCGTGTAATTGTGTACATGTGTGTGTGTGGGTGTTTCTGTATGTTGCAGTCTATGCGTGCGTGTGTGTGTGTTTGTTTTTGTATGTTGCTGTCTGTGTGTGTGTGTGTGTGTGTGTGTACATGTGCGTACATGTGTGTGTGTGTGTTTCTGTGTGTTGCAGTCTATGTGTGTGTGTGTGTGCATCTATGCGCCTGTGTCTGTGTCTGTGTGTTTGAACATGCAATGTGCGCCTTCAACCCTTTCGCTCAATCCCCCTGCAACGCATTCACGCCTTTATCCCCTGCTGCTGCATCACCAGGTATGGCGCCACCAAGCGCATGAATGAGCTGCTGGCGCACTCGTACCACCACCTGTACAACATCTCCGCCACAGGCCTTCGCTTCTTCACCGTCTTTGGGCCCTGGGGTCGCCCAGATATGGCCCCGTTTATCTTCACAGGTGTGTGTGTCTGTGTGTGTGTCTGTGTCTGTCTGTCTGTGTGTCTGTGTGTCTGTGTGTGTGTGTGTCTGTCTGTGTGTGTGTCTGTCTGTTTGTGTCTCTGCCTCCCCCTCTCTGTCTCCCCCTCTCTGTCTCCCCCTTCCTGTCTCCCCTCTCTGTCTCTCCTTCTTTGTCTCTGCCTGCCTGCTTGTCTGTCTCAATCCCTGACTGTGCCTGTGTGTCACGGCACCTCGACCCTAATCCAACACCCCCCCCCCTCGTCCTTCAAACGCAGAGCGTGTGATGCGCGGAGACACGATTGACGTGTACCACACGGCGGACGGCGAGGAGATGCGACGCGACTTTACATATGTGGACGACATTGTGGACGGCATTGTGCGCAGTCTGCACCACGGCGCTGGGTATGACGTCTTCAACCTCGGCCGCGGCCACCCAAGTATGTTCATCGACACGACGTGGGGACTGGGAGCTGGGGATGTCGTGCATATGTGTGTGTGTGTGTGTGTGTGTGTGTGTGTGTGGTTTTGTGTGCATGTGTATGTCTGGGTCTGGGTCTGGGTCTATCTGCGTTCGCAACACTTCCTCATTATGCTTACACACACACACACACACACACACACACACACACACACACACATCCACATTCACACACACACACACACATCCGCATCCACATCAACACACTCTTTCTCGCCATTCATCCACCCATTCACGCTCACACCAACCCAAACCACGACAGCTTCTGTGCCGCAGTTTATTGAGATGATTGAGAGCGCGACGGGCAAGCCTGCGCGCCGCAACGATATGGAGGCGCACGCGGCCGAGCTGCCGGAGACATATGCCGACGTGAGCCACGCCGCAGACGTGCTGGACTACAGCCCCAAGATGGCCACGGACGAGGGCGTGAATGCGTTTGTCGGCTGGTACAAGTGGTACTCTGAGCAAGGCATGTTCCGCCCCTTCCCGCGCGCAGACTACTACTTCCCTGGCGGCCCCGCTGATGAGGCCTTCAAGCAGCGCCAGCAGCAGTTGTAGGCGGGCGCGTGCCGTGAATGTTGTTGTGTGCTGGCGTGCGTCTGTGTCTGTGTCTTCTGTCTGTGTGCGTCTGTGTTTGTCTGTATGTCTGTGTGTCTGTGTCTGTGTCTGTGTGTACGCCCGTCTATGTACATCCCCCCCCCCTTGTGCTTGCATGTCTCTCTCGTCCATTCTCTCCAAGTCCATTGCCTACGTGACGATCATTTCGAGTGAACACAACGCGAAGACCGTTTCAAAGCAGACAACCAACCTCTCCACACACCAAACAAACCCGAATGATGATGCTGCGACTTGGTGCCGTTGCGTGCCTGGTGCTGGTGGCGCTGCTGGGTGCTGCTGCCCCGGCACACGGCGATGCACAGGCTGTGTAAGTCGAGTTGGCACTGGCGAGTGTGGCAGGGTGTGTTCTGTCATTGATGCGAGACTGGGTTCTCATTGCTCTGCCTCTGCTTGTTCCACCTGCGGCCCTGCACCTGTGATACTGTCCTTCCCACACCAACCAGGCGACAGCTGACGCGAGAGGACCTGTCGCACAAGCGCGTGAGCGAGCTCAGGCGGTTTCTCGAGGAGCGCGGTGCAGACTGTCTTGGCTGCGTGGAGAAGACGCACTTTGTGGATCGGGCACTGGAGGTGCAGAGCTGGCCCCTGAAACCCTCAACGCCCAAGCCCAAGCCCTCGGTGTGTGTGTCTGTGTGTGTGTCTGTGTGTGTGTCCGTGTGTGTATCTGCATGTGTCTGTGTGTGTGTGTGTGTATCTGCATGTGTCTGCTCTGTGTCTATGTGTCTCTGTCTTTGTGTCTGCCTGTCTGTCTGCCCCTCTGCCCCTCCCCCTCCCCCTTCCCCTCCCCCTCTGCCTCTGTCCACGCCATGCCACGCCACGCCAACGTAATCCCCTGCCCTTCCACTGCCCCCTCCCTTGTTGCCACGCCATCACATCACCACAGAAGCAGGGCGACCCCGACATTGACGAGATGCTCAAGGCGTTCCAGCAGGACCAGGAGCGCAAGAAGAAGATGCACGACATGCTGCGCAAGCAAGGCATCAACCTGGGTGACCAAGATGACGCCCAGGCGAAGATCCTGGAGTCACTGCAGAAGATGCGCAAGCGACCCGCCAAGCAGGACGACAGCGACAGCGCCGACCGTGACCGTGGCAGCGAGGACCACGAGCAGCACAAGCACGAAGAGTTGTAGTGGATGACGGGCCTTCGATGGCAGTGTGTGTGTGTGTGTGTGTGTTCGCTTGTGCATGGATGTGTGCATGTATGCGTGTGTGCTGAGCGCAAACGCATAGAGCAAGGGCGAAGAGTGTTGTGCTTGCTCTCTTCTTGTCACTGATACGAACGCGCTTGTATGACCCACCAGTGCAACACCACACACACGCGCGCGCGCACACACACACGCACACACCAACTATGTTCCCTGATGCGACAATAGAAGACGTACGTAACACACCATTTATCGTTAGAGAGACAAGCCGCAATCACGCCGGCAATAGGTGGAAGGGGCGGGCACTACAGCAACGTAACACGCATTCAGCGCAGCGCGCTAGG